GTCAGACCTTTTGCTGGTTTCTTTTTATCTCCATCTGTGTCTCAGTTTCCCTAACTCCTAGATTTAGAAAGGATGAATTGTAAGGTGCCTACAGAGCTGAGACCATGTGCCCACACTCACATTCAACACATACAGCACCCTCCAGGCAAAATTGCAGGTGTTGGGGGCTGTGTTTGTGTCTCTGTGGAACACTCTCCTGTGCCGATCACAGAACAATGTTGGAAATGTGCTGTGGAGTTGGAGTCAACATGTAAGTGACCCTCCGGTGGGTTTTCAGAGGCTGTAAACCACAAGAGAGGAGACTGTCCATCTTTCTCCCAGGAAGCAGCTGATGGGTTTGAACGGCCTGCCTTTCAGTTGGCAGTGCACCTCGTTACCACCTGGTCACCAGAGCTCCCACAGAATAAGAATTGCACTGGAGTAGATTGCCTGTCCTCCCAAGGAGCAGCTGGAGAATTTTAATCTCGTGCCTTTTGGGAGGGCAATGCAATTTATTACTACTAGGCCACCAGAGCTCCCTACAGAACAATGTTGTTGTTGTTGTGTACCATGGAGTCTGAACTGACCCCTGGCTGACCCTCTGGTGAGCTTTCACAGGCAGTTAATCTCATGGAAGGAGATTGCCCATCCTTCTCTTGCAGAGCAGCTAGTGGATTCAAATCATGTACCTTCAGGATTCCAGACCAGTTTCTTATCACTTGGTCACCAGACAATAGGTGGGCCTTAAATTAGAGGGAAACCACTTGGAGGGAAGGGGACAGAAGCAAACCTGTAGGAAAGAGACTGAAAGGAAGAAAGTGCCACTGAGAAGGGGTTCCTGAAAGAGAAAAGGAAGGTGAAGTGTGGAGAACAAGTAGCAGGATAGGGTTTGGAGAGGGTAACGGAACATTTGAGCTGCAGTGGGGCATCCAGTGGGGTTTGTCTGAGCAAAGGGTTTGTCATGGGAATTCCCGAGACTGGTAAGAGTTTGCATAGCCACAGCGAGGACTTGAAGGTACCCATCCAGTGTGTGGGGCTATGTCCTCCAGAGGTGACCCCTTGATGAAAGAGGGAGGGTTGGAGTCCGAAAAGGCTGGATCTAGGGTGATTAGAACTCGACGTATGGACTGGGCGGGTGGTCCTGGGGGGCGCAAAGTCTGGGCGGTGGGGCCCGTAGCTGCAGAAGCAGCTGTAGTGGGAGGTAAGGGGCGGTTCCAGGCGGGCTGGGACTGCAGGGGGCGGGGGGTGCCGGGAGCGCGGGGAGGCGGGCCCAGCGGAGGGCGGGTTAATATCGGGCGGGCGCGGGAAGCGGCCAGAGAGCGCGCGGTCTTCAGCGCGGGAGGATCCCATCGCAAGCAGGTGCTGCTGGGGTCGGGGACTGCGCGCTGCACGGGGGGAAGGTACCTTTTCCTTTCTGCCAAGAGCCTCGGAGGTTGGGCCTGACAGCCCCGCGGCTGGGACACCCCGGGTGGGGCTCCAGCGCGGAGCGTGCGGCGCTGCGCAGCACGTGGCGTGGACTGGCCGGGATCTGGGGGGCACCCTCCGGGGATGCGGACTGTGGCGGCGTAGGGGTGACCTGACCTCGGGGCCTGAAACCTGGCTATTGCCGCTCTGACCTCCGCTGGGGGACGGGCGAATGGATGGTTAATGGATTTGTTGTTGGTACAGGAGAGGGGAGGGGCCCTTTTTGCTGGCCTGCGTTGGTGTGTGTGTTGGGGTGGGTGTGTTTCTCGGAGGTCGTAAAATGGAGCTCAAAGTGCTGTCTCTTTAACCTTCGCCTTTTTTTTTTTCTGGCCAAACTCGTGTCCCTGGGCCTCTTCCTGGGCGCGTCCTCATTTACTCCCAGAGAGAGGACCCTTCCTTCTCTCAGAAGACAGGGACACATAACCCAGTTTTTCCCCAAGAGGAGGGCAGTGGTGGGCGAGACTAGCCCACCCATCCCTAGCCCTCAAACCTCTCAGGGTTTCTCAACTCCATGGTGGCCCCCTTTGTCCACTCCTCCGAGGAACCTCCAGATTGCCTTGTTTGTCCTCTGTAGTTCTGCCCCGAGAGCTCCCCCTTTTTATTTGTATATATGGTGGTAGCTCTATTATGTAGAAAGAGGAGCACTGGTGACTTAGTCTGATAGAAGGCAGTTAAGTTGCTAACCCAAAGACAGTCGCTTTCTAGCAGTTAAAATCCATCAGTGACTCAGAGAAAGATGGGCAGTTTCCTCCCTTGCAATTTACATCCTCTCAAAAACCCACTGGACAGTCAGTCACCTATCCGGTGTTTCCAACTCCAGGACAATGAGGTCTTGAGTTTTGGGGTGGGGAGACTGCCTTACAACTGAAATTTTTATCAGACTAGTGGTGACTGTGACCCACACTATAATTTTCTCAATTGAAGCAGAGTTCCCTCAACTCCCAGTCTTACTGAGGCACTTGGCAACTGGCTTTATATTTCCCTCCCCATCCCAGAAGCAGCCTAGAATAAGCTGCTTTTCCTAGCTGTGTGAGCTTTGTTCATCTGCACTTAAGCTGCCTCTGTTTAACAGAAGCGTCTATTAAACATTTTGTACTAGTTTATCTGTGGTTGTGAGAGACTAGAGGGAGGAACCAAAGTTGGTTGTCTCCAAAGATGGTAGCCCCTGATAGACGAGATACTGGTAAGCAGAGTTTGCTACTACATGGATGTTTCTAGAAGTTAAGGTGCCTGCGGGGTGTTGCTGGCCTGGAGAGTGGGGAAATGTGCAATTGAACAGCTGCATTCAGAGCCCTGGTTTAGCAGGTCAGGGCATGGCTGGAGAGACACCAGATGCCTTGAGCTGCTATCATATCCCTGGTTGCTGCTGGGCAAATGCAGACAAGAACAGAACACCTGGGCTGAATTGAGGGGGAGGGGCTGCCCCGAGTTGATTCTTGTCCAGGACTAGAGTGGGGGACTGCTGAGAGAGAACAGGGAAAGCAAGAGTGGGAAGAGGTCAAAAGTAAATGCTAAGGGAGCTCTGGTGGCCTAGTGGCAAGATGCTGCACTGCAACCCCAGAGGTACATGGTTCAAATCCACCAGATGCTCTGCTGGAGAAGGAGGGGGCAATCTCCTCCTATGCCAGTCAGATCTGATTTGACGGTACACGTAAAAATAATACAATAAAAAAAAAAAAGTAAATGCTTGCCTGATCCTAATCTGGATTTTACTGAGGAGAAGGGGAGATACTCTGTCCTCCCTACCCTGATCTCCCATCTGGTTTGAGACTGTACTTCCTTTTAACTCAAGAACCTTGCCTGGGCTGAGGGGATCGGCAGGAGGAGGTGCCTACTGGTATGCCGAGGTGAGAGGCTGGGATTCCCTATCCCTGCTACCTGAGAGAAGCATTTAGACTTTTTTGCCTTTGGAGCAGAGCCCTCTTGTCTCCATGCCTCCTCCTGATATGCACAGGCGTTAATAATTATTAAAAGGACAAATGAAAGAAAACCTTTAGAGGGGTATTGATCTGCACCTCCCCACAGTCATGCTATGGCTTAGGGGACTGATGAAAGCCTTTGCAAAATCTGGACTTTGAGGAGTTGAGGGCTGGGAAAGCCCTTAAAGGGTCTTGGGACTCCTGGTCTTTGTCTCTCTGAGTCTAGGACCTAGAGAGAGCATTGGTTCCACCTGAGAGCCTGCTCACCCACAACCCCCTGAACCTCCCCTGCTGAGTATCCTTCTCTTATCTCCCAAGCCACAGGGCTGTTTTTATCACCAGGCTGTGAAGCCTCTCAGAATGGCCCAGCTCTCTTCTTTAGAGAGCCCTGAGGAGCCTTCTCCTAAAGTGTCTTGTGCTGTCTTAATTCCTGACACTCCTCCAGGTTCCCACAGGCAAGACCTGCAGCCTGAGCCTGAGCTAGAAGCAACTGGACTGGCCTCCAGCTCTGCTGCGGATAAGCCTAGGTGTCTGGTAAGTGCTTGGCCAGCATGGGAAGAACAGGGAAACAGATCCTCACATCCTAAACTGTATGACTTGGCCCCAGAGCTGGGTCAGCGTGCAGGGGACACGCTAGCTTGGGCCTGCCCAGCCTACTATGCCATCCAATGTGAAAGCGGTCTAACTCGCTGGTGCCAGGACGCCACCCCTACAGGCTGGACAGTGGATGGACACTGAAGGCTGGGAGCTTTGAGACTCTTTAGTTGGTCAGGCCTGTGCCTTCTGTACCTCAGATCTTCCCTTCCAGGCCCCTCTTAGAAAGGGGAAGAAGACCTGGGGCCTTTCAGTCAGAGAGGAACTGAGGGGGGATGGGGATAGCCTGGGGGGCAGGGCTGAAGAGTCTGGGAGGGGCTAGTTGACTTGGTGGGAAGGGCTAAGTCCCCACACCCATTGGGAAATACTTTCCTAGAAAACTGTTCTGGAACTAGGAAGCCCTTGAGCAGTGTCTGGAAAGAAAAGTTCAGGTACCACCAGCAGAGAGGTGTGAGGTGTGGTGCCTCCGGGAGAATACGGGTTCTTCAAAGCCCACCCTAGCCGTGGACACAAAGTCCTAGCAGCGCCTCAGTTTCTACCCCTTGCTGCCCCGCTTGGATCTGATTGCTTACCACCTCCTTCTCCCTGTCCTCTGTTCTCGATCTACTTCACTCTGTTTACCATCTCTTGCCCCTCCTTCCATTGTCCTCCCTGTCACTGACCCCCTGTCCTCCCATCCCTGACCCCTTCCATCCTCTTCCTTTGCTGTGTTCCCCTCCCTCTCAATCATTCTCCCTCCTCGTCCCCTCCACCCTCCTGTTTTCTAGCTTATGAACTGCCAGGGCTGCTGGATAAAAATAGCGGTGGCCGCGCGGCCAGGCTGGGAGCCAGGTAGAGCCGAGCCGGCAGGGGCCTCACCAGGACTGGCCGGCTGGCGGCAGGGAGCAGAGCCTGCCGACACGCCCAGGCAGAACAGCCCAAGGAGGTGGGGGTGCAAGCAGGGCAGGAGGGGTCCTGCTGCAGTCTGCCCAGAGTCCTAGGAAGAAGCAGGGCTGAGACTGGGCCTCTCACTGCTTCTGCCCCCAGTCTACTCCCCAGGAGTCCTCAGAGGGAGGGAGCACTCATCCAGGGAACACTGGGAATCCTGTCACCATGACAACCGGTCATCAGCCTCAGGACAGGTACTGGGGGCAGGGGCCTGGGCTTGGGATCTGGGGGAGTAGAAACTAGTCTCCAAGGCACTGGGGACTGTGTCCTTTGGACTGGCCTTCTGGACAGGTAGCTGTGAGTCAGGTCATGGTCAGGGGTGGGGGCCTTATGTGCCTTGGCTGGGTGTCTGGGGAGGGCCCAGGTAGGTGGGCAGCAGTCCCTCCCTGACTTGTCAGTATTTCCACTGTTGCTCTTTGGCCGGCGAACAGCTGCTGGCTCTCTAGCTGCCACTGTGAGGAAACATTTGGCAGCTCACCCCTTTCCTGAGCACATCTGGCAAAACTCTTCTCCCTAGGAGCCATTCAGCACCTTCACTTCAGATGACCCCAGTCCCACCCCAACCCTTGATCTGACCTTCCTCTCACTTTTCCTCCTTTGGAACTTGTGAGCTTCTTCAAGTCAGAACCACAGTTTCAATTGTGCAGTTGGGTTTTGGGAGAAAGCCTGGAGCTGGATTCGGGTTCTCCGAGGGCTCAAGTGCCTAAGAAAGTTGAGAAGCCATGCCTGGACTCTGAAACACTCTCAGAGTTCAAGCCCCTTCTTCTCCCTCCAGCTCAGGTCCCCAAGCCCATCACTGCTTCGTGCTCACTCTGTCCCCTTCCTGTGCCAGAGGGGCCACACAAGGCCACGTCAAACTGTGGGACCTTGGACACTTAGATTAGCATCATCTCTTTGGGACTGTATTTCTGTAAAAGAGAGGTCAGAATAGCTAGCTCACAGGCTAATTTGGAGGGGAAAGGGTTTAAGGAGTTATAGTAAGTTCGTGGCCCTTATTAAGGTGCCTTCTTCTCCTCCATTCCTGGATGATCTGACTGCCTCCACCCTAGCTTCAACGTAAGCAGTCCCCTGAGCCTCATTTTTCTTATTACCCAGCTTGAACTCATCAATTTCCCAGTTTCATTCGGGCCCTTTGTCCTGGTTGACCTTTGCTGGAAGTTTCTCCTATTCCAGGCCTATAACCAAGCCCTTTGCTTGCTTATTCAAAGCAAGGACTTTCTGAGGGCTGCGAGGGCAGTGACTCACTTGTGCACCCACCCAAGCCTTCCCTGTGTGAAGCCTGTTCCTGGTCGCTCGGCTCTGAACTGTCCTCTTGGAGCTCTAATCTGAATCCTTGTGAGCCATGTGGACAAGACGTGGCTAAACTATGGGGAAGATACTGGAGACATGTCTGAAGATCCAAGTGGAAGGAGCCTGGGCTTCTAAGACTACAAGACAAGGCCTGCCTCAGACCTGGTCCTGAAATGTGTTTGGGCCAGCATCCTAGCCAAAGCAGGGGCGGCCCTTATTTACACTGCGGGCCTAGATGACGTCCCGTTGCCTGGCACCTCCTGGCCATAGGTGGTGTGATATACAAAGCTGATTCTGTCTAGGCCAGGAGAAAAACAGCTCCCTCATTACTCAGCTTGCCCTGAAGCATCCGCCTGCCTTCTTCACTGGGTCTAGAATGGTCTGGGACTTTCTTGACCTCAGAATTTTCTTTGGGGAGCCACAGGGTCCCTGCCCAGATACCATAATCACTTGCAGCTTCCCTGGTGGGACTGGAAGAGACTCTTGTTGTTTGTTTTCTTACTCATCCGCCCACCCTGAGTCCTGGAGCAGGATTTCCAAAACCAACCCCAGATGTGAGGGGGTCACACTAGTTCCCAGTGTACAGTGTCCCCTGAGTCTTCCAGGGCTGAGAACCAAGGTCCTCTTGGCCATGCCATTTAATCACGTGTCCATGATCTCTCTCCGACAGTGGCCTCTCTGGACTCCTCTTTTGCCCTTTTCCCTCCCCTAGGACAGCCTCCACCTCCCCATATCAACTCTCCTCCCTCCCAGCAAACATACCTGTAGGACACATGCCATGAATACAAACAGTTCTCCAGTGCAGGCCTCTTACCCTGATCAGAGGGACAGTTGGAGCTACTGAAGGTCATAGGGGGAGGGGCTTCCCCAGGTTTACTCTGAGGAAGGAGGGGACATGGGAGTCACCAGACCCCCTTTGCTCTCCCGTGTTCAGGTACAAAGCTGTCTGGCTTATCTTCTTCATGCTGGGTCTGGGGACGCTGCTTCCCTGGAACTTTTTCATGACAGCCACTCTGGTGAGACAGGGGACAAGGCCACTGGGTGTGGAGGGCCTGCATCCCCACGTGCAGGCTCCAACCCTCCTCCCCACGACTCCCGCAGTATTTCACCGACCGCCTGGACAAGCTGCAGAATGCATCCTCGGTCACTGAGAAAGTGGATAGGAGCATCCTTGCCTCAGCTGCTCCCACCACCACCTCCTCTCCTGAGCGCAGCTCACTCAGCTCCATCTTCAACAATGTCATGACGCTGTGTGCCATGTTGCCCCTGCTGGTCTTTACCTGCCTCAACTCTTTCCTGCATCAGAGGTGAGGGCTGGACCTTCAGAGCTGCCCGCCCGAACCCTCCTTGTCTTCCTGCGTTGCCCTCAGTCTGACCACCTCTTCCCTGCCCTCCTTGGCCCCTCCTATCAGGATTCCCCAGTCCATACGGATCCTGGGCAGCCTGGTGGCCATCCTGCTGGTGTTCATGATCACTGCCATCCTGGTGAAGGTTCAGATGGACGCCCTGCCCTTCTTTGTCATCACCATGATCAAGATTATGCTCATTAATTGTAAGTTGAGGCTGGGAGGGGGGCCTGCAGGGCATAGCCTTCCCTACATACCGCCATCATCCTTTCAGACCCAGGGTCAGGCAGAAGGAAACGGGTAGGATGGGCAGTTGGGATTCAGAGGCCCAAACAGGCCTGGACCAGGGTTGGGAAATGGAACAGGTTCTGTGTCAGGCTCACTGGGACTAAATTATAGGGACCCGTTTTCCCATCAGGAGCCCTAATGGTGGCTGGTTAAAGTGCTTAGCAGCTAACCAAAAGGTCGAGAGGGAGTGAATGTTATGGCCACCTGCTTTTGTAAAGGTTGATTGCTTTGAAAACACTCTAGGCAGTTCTGTCCTGTCCTGCGGGGTTGTTGTGAGTCAGAATCAACTCATTATTGGGTTGGTATGAATTTTCCCCATAACCAATCAGTTGCCGTCAACTCTTAACTCATGGAAACCCGATGTGTGTCTCTGGATAAGGTAAAAGAGTTCACGTGTTTGGTTAGAGGTTCTTGTACATCTGGAGATGTCTCAAAAGAAACGCCTGGCAATCCACTTCCAAAATATCAGACATGAAGAATGCTGTGGAATTCAGTTCTGCTTAGACACACATAGGTCCCCATGAATTGGAGTTGTCTTGATAGCAACTAGTTTTCCCATGGATCCCAGCCCTAGTGGAAGCAAGTCCCTCCCTGCTCCCTGTCCCCCACTGACGCACACCTTGCTCCTCCAGCGTTTGGTGCCATCCTGCAGGGCAGCCTGTTCGGTCTGGCTGGCCTCTTGCCCGCCAGCTACACAACACCCATCATGAGTGGCCAGGGCCTAGCAGGTTTCTTCACTTCAGTAGCCATGATCTGCGCCATTGCCAGTAAGTCCTACTGCCCATTTGCAGTATTGCCTTGGTTTTTATGGGGAGAAGGGGTGGGACCTGTCTGCTCACTGACACCACCATCCCCTGCTCAGGTGGCTCAGAGTTGTCGGAAAGTGCCTTCGGCTACTTTATCACGGCCTGCGTAGTCATCGTTCTGACCATCATCTGTTACCTGTCCTTGCCCCGGCTGGTGAGCAGTGCAGGCGCCTGGGGCCTGGAATGTTGGAGCCCAAGGATTCGGAGCCCAGAGGGAGGTGGGAATTCTGGAGCTCCCACCTCTAAATCGACCTCCCTGCCTCTCCTCGCTTCACAGGCATTCTACCGCTACTACCAGCAGCTCAAGCTCGAAGCACCTGGCGAGCAGGAGACCAAGTTGGACCTCATTAGCAAAGGTGTGAATAGCCTGGGGCAGAGCGCAACAGACCAGGCAGGGGACAGCTTGAGGATATTACATTTGCTGCCGTGATGAGTCAGATGAGGATAGAGGGACTCAGGTGGGGAAGAAGGGCCGGAAAAGATGAAATGACATATTAGGACTGAAGGGAGTCAGAGCAACTTGACCTGAGGCTCTAGGGGGGAAAGTTGGGACCCAGGGAACTTGGGGAGTTCAGGGCTGCACTTTAGGATGAGACTGTGCATGCAAGCATTCATCTCATTTTTCTACCTTGACTTGAATATCCCTCTACAACCTCTCATCTCTCCAGGGGAAGAGCCAGGAGCAGGCAAAGAGGAGCATGGGGGCTCGGCTCCCAACGCCCAGCCCAGCGCTAGGCCCTCTATCATAGCCATCCTCAAAAATGTATGTGGGTGTAGTCTGGGTGTGCTGTGTGATGGTGGGGGTCCCTTTTGCATGAGGCTGGGCTGACTTCTCTGTCCCTTCTCTCCAGATCTCGGTCCTGGCTTTCTCCGTCTGCTTTGTCTTCACTGTCACCATCGGAGTGTTTCCTGCTGTGACGGTTGAGGTTGAATCCAGCATCGCGGGCACCAGTGCCTGGAGTGAGGACACCAGGGGTTCTCAGGGTTGGGACAGGGACTAGAGCAGGACTGGGATTGAGGAAGAGAGGAAGCCTCGACTTCGTTTCCACCTGGCTAGATCCTTGTGGATCTATTTACCCTTCCCTGTCCTGGAAGCAACCTGCCATTTGCACACTGGGAAAATAAGTCCTAACAAATAGGTATCTACCTTCTAATCCACTCTGACTTTTCTAGAAAAGTACTTCATTCCTGTGTCCTGTTTCTTGGTTTTTAACATCTTTGACTGGCTGGGCAGGAGCCTCACAGCTGTATGCATGTGGGTAAGTGGAGGAAGAGGGTATACCAGGCCCCTGTGGGAGAGAGGGGTCCAGTCTTAAGACCAAGAAATGGAACCCAAGAAGGGCTGGTAATAAAGGGACTACCCTCCTTTTCTTAATTGAGACAGATTTACATGTAATAAGGCATTGTTGTTATGTGCTGTCAAGTTGGAACTGATGCATACTGGCCCTCCAGCAGGTTTTCAGAGGCACGCAAGGAGATGGCCTGTCTTTCTCCCATGGAGCAGCTGGTGGATTCAAAGCATGTGCCTTTGGGTTGGCATCACAACTCCTTACCAAACTAAGTCACCAAAGCTCCCTTGTAATAAGGCATACGAACCTTAAAGACATATAATACACACAAGTTGCTCCTTAGAAGTAAGGATTCTGACGCTCTGTCTCACATACTTTGGACATGTTGCCAGGAGGGACCAGCCCTTGGAGAAGGGCATCATGCTTGGGAGGGTGGTGGGACAGTGCCACAGGGGAAGACCCTGGATGAGGTAGATTGACACAGTAACTGAGATAATGAGGTGAAGTGTGTGGGAGATAGTGAGATTGGCTCAGGATAGGACAGGCTTCAGCACTATTATGCATAGGGTCACTCTGAGTCACAGACCACTCAACAGCACATAACAACCTATATAATCACCACCTAGAAATCAAGCCTTCAGAAGGCTCCACTGTGCCCTCACCCAGTCAGAACCTCTTAAGAAGAACCAGGCCTTGAGATTTCCATTGGGATCCTGAGACCCCTGAAAGCCAGCCCTGGCCAAAGCATTGATTACCCTGGTCCCCACAGCCTGGGAAGGACAGTTGCTGGCTGCCAGGCCTGGTGGTGGCCCGGGTGGTGTTCGTGCCTCTGCTGATTCTGTGCAATGTGAAGTCTCACTACTACCTACCGGTGATCTTCGCGCATGATGCCTGGTTCATCATCTTCATTGCTGCCTTCGCCTTCTCCAATGGCTACCTCGCCAGCCTCTGCATGTGCTTCGGGCCCAGGTGAGGAGGGCTGACTGGGGATTTTGGTAGCTCAGGCAGGTCCAGGGCTTCTGGGAGATTCTCAGCAGAAAGAGAGGCCAAGAGGAGACTCTGATCCTGCATCTTAGGGTTCCTGGGCCAAGACTGAAGACCCTTCTGGAGAAGCACAAAGGCTGGGGGGGGGGAGGAGGCGTTTGGTGCTCAGACTTCAATCAGGTGGAGATATGGGAGGGGGTTCTCTGGATGAAGTGGAAGCTGTGGCCGCCCTAGTGGGCAGAGGGATGCAGAATGGGTTCATTCCGCTGACTTTGGTACTCACACACGTCCCACATCAGCTGGCCTACTGGACTGTTCTGAGGGGACCTTGTTCTCTGTTCCTCAGGAAAGTGAAGCCAGCTGAGGCGGAGACCGCAGGAGCCATCATGGCCTTCTTTCTGTGTCTCGGCCTGGCACTGGGAGCTGTCTTCTCCTTCCTCTTCCGGGCGATCGTGTGACCATCGATGGACAGAAGGAATGCACTGCCTACCTGCCTCCAGTCACCCTCTTCTTCCAGGAACAGAGACAGGTGGTCTGGAGGCCTTTCTCTTCTAGCTGCCATCTGCCATGTCACTGCCAGTGCTGGGACCAGGCCCAGGGGAGGAAGCCTCTGTAGGTAGATGGTGGGCACCACCGTGGGCCTGAGGGTCAAAGTCAAGGGGCATCTGAGTCTCTGCATCTGTCCATGGCTCCCTGCACTTGGCTCCGACTTGCCTGAGTTCCTGGGTGTAACTCTGAGGAGTGCATCGTATCATACATACATTATCTATATGTGTATGTTTATCTGCCTGTCCTAGTACCAGAGGCATCTAGGAATCTGGACTGACCGTTATATGGTCTTCTCCAACATGTTGGGTTTTTTTGTGTTTGTTTTTTTTCCTTAAGCCCAGTGTCCTATGCATCCTACCCCCTGTACAGGTTGCCATTACATTGCTATATATATATATATAGCATATATATATATACTTGACAGAAGCCAAGTGCTTTCAGAAGCTCTGGTTAAATAAACCTTTTTCTTTTTTTCCCCCCTCCTCCCCCTCTATAGCTTCCAGTGTTCCCCTGATCCAGCTTGATGCCCTGAAAGTAGGAGGGATGGTGGCTTGAGTCTGGGGGGATGAGCATGACCACCAGTTTGGCTGGGCCTAGGGCCAATGGGGCGGTTGGCCTCAGAGGGTCTGCAGTGCCCCCTACTGGGACCACAGGAGAAGGACCAGACTGGAGGCAGGACATGGAAGGATGGCTCAGACTAAGGCCAAGTTTTTCTTTGCCATTTCATTCCTTCTTTCATCAGGATGGAGGTGGCTCTCTGTCTTTCCTTTGTCTTCCCTACCACCCCCTGTGCTCTGTCCTCAGCCCCGGGACAAGCTCTTCACACTGGCCAGTGTGCTCTCTGCCCCCTCAGCTCCTGGCTGCACTTCCACACCATCGGGCAGGAAGAGGCTGAGGCCTGAGCTTTCTCCCCTAGCTGGCATTGTGCCCTGACACCGAAGCTCAGCATGCCAGGCTTCCTGGGGAACAAGGGCCTATGTGTCCTGCAGCAAAGCTGGGTCCTCTTTCTCAACCCCGACTCTGGCCTGGGAAGGAGGGATAGATTGGTTTAGGGCCCTCTTTTTAAGAATGACTTCTTGACTGGGATAGGAGTGGGGCCCCAGCCTCACTGACCTAGGCCTCCTGGTTGAAGGGTGGGGGATATTTCCACAGAATTTAGCCAGCCGGCAGATTCCCCCCCTCAGAACTGACACCTCTGTCAAGACTTCGTTTCTCACAATAGTTTAGCTTAATAGAAGGCTTCAGACCTCATTAAAGGCTGTTCACTCATTGTTAAGGCTCTCTGATGAGCTCTGAATCCCTCATGGGATATTTAAGTATACCATTGTGTTGAGAACTGAAGTCTGTACTAATCTGTCAAGAAAGGCTACAAATCTGAGGTTAGTGAGAAAAAAACTCTTTCTTTCAAGTTCAAAAGGGAAGCCTTCCTGTATTTATCCTTTTAGTCTGTGAAAGGCCCTTTGGCAGAAAAAGATGTAACTTGGACACCTGAACCCTTTTTCCCTAGCCCTCCTTGCATCAGAACCCAGCTTTACCATTTTACCTAGTACTCAGCTCTGTTAGGTTTCTTCCTCTTGGGACCAACAAGAACCCTGCCATTTTCGTCACTGGGTGCCCTTTTGTGTCAGGCTTCCTCGCTTCTGACTTTTGGGACTTCTTCCCACTCCTGGTCTCCCGCCAATCCAAATGTGGTATAAAAATGACAAGGTGGAGCCCTCTGACCTCTGACTTGGTGAGGAGAGATCACCAGCAGCAGCAGCAGCTCAAGGTGAAGTCCTCGAAGACAGACATGCTTAGCTTCTACTCTCCAACCTTTTTATCCAGTTCTAACACCAGCTGTCCCTCCCATGATGCCCAACTTCTCTGCCAGCTTCAATTCCATTGTCCACCTGCAACACAGACCATATGCACCATTGTGGAGTTTATTAGGGAAGTAACTATAACTCAAAATCAAAGTCAATTTAGAAGTAAAAGGAGCAAATCAGAATTCAATTCTTAATCTTGCTGGCCCTGTGCCAGGCCATCTCTTCATCCTGTGGATTGGCAAGCCTGATCGCCTTGTCACACTGCTGTTCCGTGTCACAGCTCTCCCTGCATCTCCTTGAAAGCCTAACTTGATGGCAAAATATACCATTCTCTCATTAGAGTTCCATACACTTTATTTGCATGGTACCCACACATACCCCCTAATGGTGCTGTGCCTTATTACATTATTGGCATGCTACCCAATCCCCTGACTGGACCATAGCACATTTGTGTGGTCATTTGTCACCCAGTCACCTGGTGGGAGTAACAAAGGCTATGGCTTGTTAAGTGCCATCAGTACTATTCATAGCAATCCTGAGTCCATCAGGATGAAATACTTCTGGGTCCTGCACCTTCATCAGACTTGCTGCCATATGTCTTCTGATAATATGCCTGTATATGAGATTTTGTCTAGCCATCTTCCCCTATCTAAGAAGCACCCTGGCTGTATTAAGTAATGCACTATACCACATGTGGCCACAAGAATATAAAAGCAAAATTCTGTTTATGCTGAGCCTTTCTGTGGAACATGATCCTACTTCCCAGAGATCTATTCCTTTACCACTGCTCCATTGCCATTGAGTTGGAACTGACTTGTAGCTCACCCTCCAGTGGGTTTTCAGAGGTGGTAAACCATGGGAGAAGATTGCCCATCTTTTTCTTATGGAGCAACTGGTAGATTTTTTGGTTGATTTTGAGAAGTACCACTTTTACTTTTGAGTATAACTTCCTGTAGACTACCATCACCAGAGCTCCCTGGCAATGGCAATTTCTTACCCCTCTATACCTCAAAATGTGTGTATGTTTTATTACTTCAGCTATTAGACTTTTGTGTTTTAAAGGAAGGGTTTACACATTATTCATAATTTGGCATCCTCAGGTTACAAATAACTAGATTTAGCACCCGAAAATATGCAAAATATTTACTTCATTGCACAGTCTTGTCCCAAGATGGGGCCTGTAAAAACACCATTGTAGATGCGGAGTAGGTGGTCTGACCTCCACTCATTTCATCAGGGTGAAGAAGCTTCAACAACAACAGGCTGATTCGTAGGAGGCTGGATATGCCCCACACTCTGCCAGTTATTAACACTGTCCCGCCTACTGAACTTAGTACCCCGGGGTTTGATAACCCATCATGAGAGCCACACAGATTTCAACAACACAAGTGCAGGGTTTATTAGGGAAGTGACGCTGTAGTTAGATACAGGGGCAGGATATAAACCTTCAGTCAGGACAGCCTCCTTTCAGCCAGGCTGTGAAGGCAGGTCTTTCCTCTAACTTTCAGCCTCATGGCCTTGGCCTCTGCCCTGCTCAGGCATGTTTCAGAGATGAGTTCTTAAACGTTACATGTCACCCTTGCTCTGTCAGGAAGTTTAAGCCTAAATAAGTTTGGCTCTAGTTCATGGATGGGCAGTCCCCAATCTCCCAGCAAGTGCCCAGAGGCACATACTCGGCCAAAAGGAGTCAGCTTTCTTACTCCATAGGCCAGGAGGGCATAGCTCAGTCTCACATGAACCTCTGGTCCTCCGCCCTCCCTGCCACTAATGCTGCCAATATTCCTGTCACTTCTGCTGCTGTCTCCAGGTCTCACTCCACCTCTCGGGTGTTACTCAGATATCTCCAGTCCAAAGAACAAGTTGTACTTTCTGGTACTTGTTGGTAGTGAGATTTTCATTTCCGTCAAGGAGCTCTGGGATCCTACTGGTAAGGAGCTGCACTGCAATCCTAAAGGCATATGGTCCAAATCCATCAGGTGCTCCACGTAAGGATGGCCACTCTCCCATGTGATTTACTGCCTCTGAAAACCACCTGGAGGGTCAGCTATGAATTGGAGGATCAGCTGTGAGTTGGCTCTGACTATGACACACAACAAGAAGCTCGATTTAAGTTGGGTGGGATAGCAAAACATCCCAAAGGTACCATTTGCAGTATTGGCAGAGAGCTCTTGCGTTGCTAACCCAAGGATAGCGCCTCCTTGTGGCTTGAAATCCACCAGTAGCTCTAAGGAAGAATGGCAATCTCTCTGCATGCAATTTATAGTCTCCTGAAAACTCACGAGAAGATCAGATATGAATCAGCTCAGACTCAATGGCAATTGGTGACATTAGCAAGATATCTGTCCCCCTCAGTGAGCTACAAATACTTAACTGTTGCGTAGTCCTACTCAGCAATGCACTTGGTACCAAGTCAGGAGATGTATTCCACTGTGCAAGTCTGTAGTCCGGGATCTTTATGAAGTATTGAGGAGTAATGATGTCACTTGGAGGACTAGGGTGTGCCTGGTTCAGGCCAGGGTCTTTTCTGTCATTTGCTGTGCATCTGAGAGCTAGATAATACTAAGGACGACAGAGGAAGAATTGATGCCTTTGAACGCCAGCATTTGGGAGTGCTGGATAATGGTAAGATACTTAAAGGTCGCGCCAGGCCTAGCACCTTGGGAGGCTTTGTGTCAGCTGCACGTGGCCTCTGGTGTCTTGAAGAGCCGCAGATATGGAGGGATCCAGGTGCTTGTGGCATTCTATTTACCCCAAGTGGGGGTTGGCGGAGCAGACCTGCCAGATGTCTTTCATTGTTTTTGTTCAAACATTCCTCTAGGTCATATAACCCTGGTGTGTTCACTTGCCGGACAGCAGTAACTTGTCGTGAGGCTGAACACGGACGCTGATGTGTCAAATGCGTTAATGGTTGGTTACCCATGGTAGACAGTATTGGGTGAAACTCCCTGATTAAAACAAGCTTGGAAGCAGGAGCGGCATCCACTTTTGAAATAGCTTGCCTCTGGAAACCCTATGAACCTGGAGAGAGGATGGGAGACATACAAGTGTTGAGGACTCTCCTTCACAGGGTTGCTATGAGTCGCCTGTGACTCAATGTCACTTAA